CTCTGTCTTTTGATTTCTCTGGGTGGGAACGAAATACATTAGAAGGTGTTACTGGTAGAAGCGTTGTCAAACACTGAATACCTGTGACATCATCACGTGAAATAAATGTTGACCAATAAGAAAATGATACCATTTCAAGTCCAAGGATAGCATTAGACTCAACAGGATAATTTTTGGGACACTTTTCTGAATATCCCAAAAAACTGGAATATATTCAACGTTGAGCCTCGATATTGGTTCTAGGATTCAAATTTTAACCCTATGAGGATCATCTTGAAGCAATAGATCCTTACTTGTCAGAGTACAGGCGTCTTTCAATGGCTCATAGAATTCCAAACACTTTAAGGCACTCTCTTAAATATTTACTTGGGCTTAGTCTCCACACAGATCATAGGGGTAACACCACGAAATTAGAGACACAGGATATTAAGAGTGACTGTATCCACACATTCTATTTCTTGAGTGATCGGATAGGGTAACTTGCTGCTGGTTGAGGTTGTCCGAGGGCATTTCGAGAGCCCCTGAGACATTCTTCAAAACTCGGAACGCTATTTTACTATAACGTGTATGTATTTTTCAGTTCTTTATTAAATATACCTGGAGGTATCGATGACCCACTGCTATTATATACAAAAGCCCGTCAAGTGAAACGTTCTATCCTGTTTACATATATTTTCGCCATTTGATTCCTTACTGTTCTTTCTTGATCCTTATGGTTGACAATACTAGGCGAAGACAGACTAGCACCACTGATTCCTACTAAAACTTAATCCTGATATGCACCGAGTTCCAAACTTCGCCATCGAAGTGTGTGACTCTTTTAACGTTGGTTTCATAAGGAGACAGTGGTTTCAATGTCTTCTGTACCCCCAGAAAGACCGTTTAACTAGAATGAAAATGACTGAAATTTTCTGACGAATTCAATCGTTTCATGCCATGACTCAGAACAACTTTAACGTAATCCTTAAAAATACAACGTATTTTTAAAAATTTCCAGGTTGATCATAACACTGAGGTCTTAGTTTGTGGCTTTAATGACTGCACAAATTGACACCTTTATCTTCCATCACAGTCTAATCATCTGCGGATACAAAGTGACTCAGCCGAGCGAAAGCGAGACCTACTAAAAGTCTAAAACTTTTAAAAACTATTTCATTACTTAAAATAAATCGGGCTCCTGTCTTCTGAGAGTTAAGTACTCAGGAAACTCACATGATGGAACATCTTATATCAACTTTTTTACTGAGCTAGTAGTTCAGACCTAGTAGTCGTTTTCCGTATCCTGTCTTACAGTGACCTCACTGATCCAATACGAAAGCCACCTTTGTTACAAATTCCAACCCGTACTTTGAAGTGAGATTCCCTTTTGCTTTGCACTTATCACATCTACTCGGCGCTGAACCAGGATTATAATCTAGTATTTTGCCGTCCATGTATGATTTTATACAGCACACTTGATGAATAATTCCTCATTATGCTGCGAGAAAAAGTGTTGGTTTCACCTGTTTTGTGTACCTAACTAATTTTTGTGGTTGTAGAAGTTTGATCAATGAGAACCGTTCAACATTATTCTATGTCCCATTGGTTACTCTTGAATAGACTGGTAAGTTAAATAAGCCTCATACTAAGCTACTTTCTTTGCGAAGAACAACTTCTAAGCGTCCTTGTTCGTTAATTGCATTTAGGTTCTGAAATAACGTTTGATCCTACCCATTCGATCCTTCAAGCTTAATGTACTTTTTCTCAGACGTTTCATCTCTAGGTGCTGAATGGCAGATAAAAAACTGGTGAGGGTCTAAAACGTCACTAAAGTATCGGTATTGAAACCGCTTTATTCGAACATGAAGGTTTCATCACCTTATGCACGTTTTTTGTCTTGGTAACAGATATATCCTTTTGTCGGTAAGATTGTGTTTGCTCTTCAAATATTTTTACAAAGCAGTAACCCTGACTCTCCCATGGTTACAAGTTAGGGCAAGTCAAGATACAGAATGGTGTGATCCTGATATAATGTAATACGGATAAGTTAGTCGCTCTACAGAAAGTAGAAAGGACTATTTTCACTAACTTTATGATTATTTTACGTCTGTTCGAAAGCTCTACTCCATTTTACTAACCTGGATGAATTTATTCAAATAATTGCTCCATTTTAGAGCGCCATACCGATATGTCAAGTTAGAGTCATAAATAAACCCAGCAAAACCCGGGCGAATCCCCACATAGTGTGGATTATTGTCCTATTTGTATTTTTAAAAATTTTGGGCGAAATAAATTCCAATTTATATTTTGAGATTTTTATTTTAATAGTCACAAAAGCGGATATATTTTATCTACCTAGATACAGTTCTCATGCCCGTTTGATATCAAACAGTAAGCTTTGGACGACCGTTTTCTGTTTACATGACTTCGTTTTGAAATCACTTAGATGGAGAGTTCTAGAGGAGTTGTTACAGTAGTTCGCAGCTCATTATGAGTCAGTTTGCTGGCGATCACTGTGAAATTTTGTAGTTCCGTTCTGAAATGTGTCGAAAAAACTAGTGAAGTCAGGAATGCGAATGTAGTTATAAGATCACAATCAATTATAGCCTGGAGTCTGACTACATATCCCAAGACGACTCAGGCTACTCTTCAAGTTGACATCATTGTGCATGCTACAAATCTTCTAACAAACGCTCCTGAGAGACAAGAAATACACACCAAAAATGCTTAAGGTGAACTCCGGTCCAGAAATATTGTTTTCCAAATATGTGTAGGTTAAAAATGTAAATGCTCTTTGATTCGATATTTGGAGGGCTTGTAGAATTATGGTCTACTATGATATTAGCACTGCTCTTATAATAGACCTAATCCTAAATTTGTAGATTTGTCATGATATAACTGCCTAATCTATAAGATCTTACGTGGAAGTCACACCATCGACTACACCAACTCACTGTATCGTATCAATTATCAATATATGATGTAGAACAAGGTTAGGCTAGAGAAAGAACAATATATTTAATATGAATAGAAGATATAGAGTAACATTGAGATGGACCACGCCTGCATGGACGAGCCATGCCATCCGATCAAACCCAGTCCATTCAATTCCTTCTCCGCGACTTCTCCATTGGCTACTCATTTTGGACGGAAATGGCATGACCAATGAGCTTGCGTTGAAGTCACACCTCACGGTTCATACTCAAAGGTGGATAACTCCTTGTCGTGTCCAGCTACCATGGTCACTCTGATGAACATACAACACAAGAAACGCTATTGCAGAAATGCATTGATAAGAGTGGGTGCAATGAAGGGTTTGTGAACATTGCTAAATGGGCTATTCCATGGCATGCAAGTCAATGATGATCGTTGGATATCTCTGACATTGACGCGGACTGGTAAACTGCCCGATATTCAGTGATCCGACAGGTAGATTATTTGGCTAATGTCTAACGAAATTTTACTAACTATACACATGAAAAGCCTTCAAGACCAACAGTGATTCTTGAAACAAAACCGGTAAATGGAAAGCTGAACGAGAACAACGTCACAACCACAAAAAGCAAGGCTTGTTGTTAGAGACAACAGTTGTCACGTAGTAGGTTGTAATGAAAGGTTTACACATAGTCCTTGAAGTAAATAATGGGCGTCCTATCATTATGAGAACTTTAAAATCTACAGCTCAGTTGATCTTCCATAATTCCACCATCTAATACCAGTGAGATTTTAACGTATTCCTCATAAAAAATGTTAAAAATATAAACATGATGCAAGTATGGATACTTAAGCCAATTGAAATACCATCAACGGCAACAAAACCGTAGGCTGTATTGGTGAAAATTCTGAAAGAGAAAATAACCATCGTGGTTAACAAACACGGAAAAAGTGGCTGACATTCTGCCGCAAGGCTGTCAACGGTCAGGAGAACGTATATTTGCTGTGATAAATTACCAAGTATTTATGCAATGTATGTACATCATACAATCGTCCATTTTCTCCATCTGAAACATCTTCTCGTCTGTTCTTCACTCGTTCTGTCAACGCCGTACATTCGATGTACTATAACTCTTCTATCCGTCTAACACTTTTTGATACCGACATTACGTTCTGCTACATACTAGCTGCAAACAATCTTGTAAGTCTTATCAGCTACACTGCCATCAGTAAACAATCTTGATTAGTAGGTAAGATAAATCCGAGATCTTTAGTAATGCAGTTTTTTTATTTTTACATTTGCTCTTGCTCTTGTGGTTTGCTGGCCACTAAGTAACCCTAGTGATGTTTGATCTACGACCCCGCTCATATTGACAGCAAACATTTGGCACGAAATATGGACCAGCTTTTAAATATAACAAATATATATAATATGAATGGTCGTACAAGTTACTATGAGATAAACAACGAAAGGAAGTTCACCAAAACATTTCAGGAGCTGGTAAGACAATCAAATATATGCAAACATACTACTGTAGCGTGGCGTCGAGTTGAGATTAACTGTGAACACCGCTACCAAGAAACACGTGCCAATTAGATCAAAAGGCGTAAGAAGCTCGTTCCAAATGACTCCATAAAATCCCCGAGAAGCCGAATACCAGAAGGCAATTAATGGACCAAGTCGATGTTTATTTGCTGGCGATCTCGTGGCATCGAAAGGATACCGAGATCGTGCCAGGATACAAGCTTGGTTACAGAACGTAACCGAATTCGCGCGAAGTTACAATCAAAGTGTAAGTATAAGAATGGAAGCACAAAATAGCTGTCATTAGCACAGTCAAACAAAAGCACGTTAAAACAAACACTGGTACAGTTGGTTTTAATAATAATTGTTTTTATTAAACCAGTCGTGTTCTCGTGATAAACGTGAGTCACTACACTACCGTCGTCTAGATGAACTACTAGACGAACAGATATATCAAGCTCATAACACACTCATCATCTAGTGAGACTTTTCCGTAACGTCCACATGAATAAGTCAAATTTCTCATTGTTTTATAACATGTCATTACAAGTACATTGGACACGTTACATATTGGAATTCATACGTTACTTATACAATTCTTGGGATTATTCGTGACAGCTGATTGCTCATGGTTGAAGATAGTAGGGGTCTCGGTGATTCCGTTGGACGGCAGTACTTTGGTGATAGCGTCGTTGATAGTTCATTTTATTCGGACAACATTAAGACAAATGTTTTCAACTTTATGGGAGAATTTAAACCGAACGTCCATGACGTTAGTGATTCCATCAAGCCGCCTCACACATCGGAAAAACGAAAACGAACGTAAGTTATAAATGGCTTTTGTATAGTTTTAATGCAATATACGTTCGTTCTTCCAAAACTTATTTATTGAAAACATCTCCGATCCCCCGATCTGGAAGATATTTTGCGATAGTGCAACAAAACATCAATATCGCCCCTGATCCTCTGCTTTTCTCACAACTCCACAAAAGTTTCGTGGTTTTCTTCATTCCTCCATGGTCTTCCCAACTCTTGAAATTAATTTCCACTGAATTTGTGGAAATAACCTTCATTCCTAATTGATGTGGGGGTTTTGCTCAGAATTTCCATAAGCTTGTAAAAACTAAGAATTTCAACATGCCTTTTGGGACAAACTCAATATTTCCTTAAAGTCTTTAGATTGAAAATAACTGAGGTTTTTAGTGTACACACAAAACATTTGTTTACTGCGATTATCAGTTTGTTTAATATATAATCTAGAACTAATGAAGATAAGACTGTAACTTATGGGCATACCAATCAGACTAACGATAGAAGACCTTAGGTTTTGGCATAAAATTATCCATCCACGTGATCAAAGATCATTTCTGCATTATACCTTATATCAGTTTGTGGTGAAAACACTAACCATAATTTCGAACTCCTAGTTTCGGTCCCTCGCACTAACCTATAACCCTCTTTTGGCCCTAGTGTGTAAGCAGATCTCAATGTCAATTTAGCGCCGCTCATAGGTCAGTATACAGTAATAAGGATAGTAGGTTGGTGGACCCGTGTTAATCCTTGCAGTTCGTTTCCCAGTGAATTTCCAGTTTATTCTTGAAAATGTTTACTGATAGGACTCTTACCACTTGTTCGGGTAAAGCGTTCCAGTCATTGACTACTCGATGATAAAAACTTGTGCCGTGGTAACCGGTGGTTGGACGTGCGTAATACGTAGCCCAATCATCTCAGTCGATGTAGATTCACAACCTGCTCAACTGATTTACCATCATTCCTTAATATATTGCGTTTAACCTCACTATGATTTGCCCGGTGATCCCATCAGATATGAGTAATATTTCTACGACGTCTATGATCAAATAATAGTAACTTATGTGTATTTCCTACTCTTAATAGACGAATATCTCGCCTTCGCCATAGGTGACGTAAGTTGGAAAAAGCCTATTTTATTTTTATTTATTTGGACACATAAATATTGGTACAAGGGGGCACCATATATATATATATATGCGCCACACAAAACAATGAGAAGAGAACAAGAAAGTAAGGAAAAAAGAACAATAAAGACCACAAATTAGTGTGAGATAATGTATTAATAATAATAATAATAATGGGGGAAACGAAAAGATACAACCAGAAGAAATCGTTCAGTTAAGGAAGAAACAACCATTTTTTAATGAAGAAAGTAAAAGAAGGTTACAGCAGGATCGCCACTGGCTTTTACTCTGAGCCATATCTGATAACGTCTCTAGCCACTGTGTAGCACCATCTCTAGGACCCCAACCAGGGAGTCATGAAGGACCAACAAAAGCCAGCCCTTTGCAGCTTTCTTTCATACCACGACACCATGTCATACACTAATCACCTGTCCGCTTTTTTTTCAACGAGTCTCAGCGTCGACAAATAATGCACGACGTGGAATTCTCTGGGAGGACATTCGTAGAACATGTCCAAGCCACCGAAGTCGATGTTTCAAGATGATGACACCAATTGGATTATCTTCTCTTCGCCCAAATACACGATACCGAACCTCTGCATTACTAACATGGTGTTCCCACTGGATGTCAGCAATCTTTCGGAGACAACGATGATCAAACACAGAGAGCCGTCTAACATCCTCAACTCAGAGAGGCCAAATTTCACAAGTATAGAGCAGAACTGCTCTCACCGACGCGTTGTAGATCCGACCTTCCACAGCCAGACTAACATCACGAAGGCGCCAAAGATGGCCCAGATTGGCCTAAGCCGCTCTGGCTTTCACTATACATGGATTGATCTCACCACTCACGCCACCACCAGCACTTATGTAGCTACCTAGATACACGAACGTCTCGACTAATTCAATCTGCTCATCACCCAGGGTGAGTACAGGATTAGAATCCTGCCAGTCTTGTAGAAGTACTTTGCACTTCGAAGGTCCAAAGCACATACCATACCTACGGACACTAATTACCAACTGATGAAGTGAGGGTTGCACTGGTTGAGTATTATCACACAGTAAGACATTATCATCCGCATCCACACCGCCATTACTTACATCCATCGGAGCTGTTTCCAGAATGTCACCGATGGTGAAGTTGAAGAGGAATGGTGAGATTGGGCAACCTTGTCTAACCTCACTGCTTGAATGGAATAGTGAAGAGAGGTGGTTGTATGCCCTCACTCTGCCTGAGGTGTTTGTATATAGGGCCTTTAGAATGTTAATAAACTTCTCAGACATCCCTGATGTCAAGAAACATTATGATTGTTGGACGGTGATAAGTATGACGGTGTTCTAACATTTGGCGGAGGGTGAATATACGATCAATACATCCTCGACCAGAACGGAAACTAGCCTGCTCCTCGCGAGTCAATCTTTCTCGGGTTTCGAACAACCTACGAAGTCTGTCGGAAGCCGATAGCTTGGATGCAATCGGAAGTAGACTTATTCCCCGATAGTTGTTACAGGAACGACGTGAACCCTTTTTAAGGATAGGGACAATTATCGACTCATTCCATGACGTTGGTACCCTCTCTAGCCCCCAAACCTTTGTAAACAATGTAGTCAATTCCTTAACTAGAAAGTCACCACCATCTTTAAAAAGAGCTGGATGTAAGTCATGTGGGCCCGGTGGTTTAAAGCTCTGTGATATGAATCATTTATTTAAAACATACTGGGTTTATATATCAACCAAACAGACCACATCGTACCATAAAATAGGAAATAACATTTGTACAAGACTTAGCCAAATTTGACTGTGAATAAGGGAGATAATAATCGATAGACGAGACATAACTCTAGAATGGTAAATCGTATAATAATAGTTCGTGGGTCAAGATAAAGCTGATAATTAGAGGGACACGAATATGAATAATTTAATTACTTTACAATTATATGACAAAAATATATGTATAATATTGGTTTATAACTGAGTCCCAAAAGTTACCATTCATTATTCTCATCGGGATATAACACAGATACATACTGTATATCGTGTGTTCGAAAACTAAAGTAAAGTACAATGTTATTACTATTTGCTAGTGGGGGGAAGGTGCTGAATGTCGATGACACCATCACAGTGGTGTTTAAAGACAAGGTCTAGCAATGACGGTTCATGTTCCAAGTCAATATGTGTCGGTTTTGCGATACAGTTTGCAAGTGCACACCGAATTATGGTTGATAATAGGCTTCTATCGAAACATCCATCTGAAGTTGGAAACTCTATCCAGTTGATATGCGGCACGTTAAAATCCCCAATGATGTGACAACAGTCGGCCTTAACCCAAGAATGTATATGACTAACGATAAAGTCGTTAGGTGGACAACGTGGACTGCGGTATATTCCTCCTATATTCACTGACCTGTGTCTAGACTTCATTTTACTTCAAGCTACCTCGCATGTACCACTTTCATGCGCCTCTGATGTGATTAGTTGTACATGAAATTGATCTCCAACATATAGTATTATGCCTCATCCATCGCGGTTTATAACTATCACTTCTAATACAGATGTAACCCGGAATAATGGGGGAACATTCGTTATCTACGGAGAGCCACGTTTCTGTGGCAACACATGTCGTGAAATAACTCATCCACCATTGTACTTAACTCGGACGCTTTATTTCGCATACCAAGAGCGTTCGTGTAGCACACATTTAAGGCTCATACAGGTCCCGGAAGCATTGACTTTCAAGACCTGCCCACCCGAAAGTCCCGACTTTTAAGGTTTTTTTCTCCAGTTAGCTTTCGAGTTTTTAACCTTGTAAGGGCATTTTTCCACTTGATTCGATCCTTAGGCAACCAGTTTAGTCGGATACGAATATTTGAATTACGAGTTTTGTATGCATTATTCAGTATGAATTGTCTTCATGACTTCTAAGTACTAACTTCAGGATCCTTCCTGGTTGGGTCTCGCCTCCAGCAAACTAACCGAGTCTTATCGCTTTCGTGATATGTACCCCTGAAACTTCTGATGGCATACTCAAATAAATCCAAATTGTGTGCATGCCTTTTAGCAGGGTCATTATATTTTGACTCAAGATTCCAAAAAAAAATAAACTAAGAACGGATTTGACTTCCTTAAAAGTCGTGTTCACGGCTTTCGATCGTGATGTCATATCCTATCTGTTAACTACCGGGAGCTTATCTTTGGTTGTTCTCGAAACAGAGTTATCTGAGTCGAGCGCATTACTTACGACAATATTTGATGAGAACAAACTTTTTCGAATTACATTATGGGTTAATATTGTATTACTTTGAGACTTTGGCGAGATAATCTGCGACTCAGTGTGAGCCCAACAAAGACTTGTCAACTAATTGGGCGCTGTTTGTGGCCATTTTTTCTCTCCTCTGTTTCCGTACTATCCATCATTTCCCATCATTTGGGGCATCCAAGTCATGATTACCTGGGACAGTATCGGTTTTATCTAGGTCATCAGTTACTACTCTAGCAACATGACCATCAATATCCAGTGGTGGTTCACTCTTTAATTGTTTCAAGGGGGACTTCCCTATTGCATGTCACACGGTCGAGAGTCTGACACGTTCTGTAACAGCACTTACGACACTGACACATTCGTCGCTGTCAGTACCCATGTTACCAGTTCAGCCCTCATAAACCTTTTTTCTGGCCAACACCAGAAAGCTAATTGTCTCTTGGATGAGTAATGTGTTGCTCGAACAACAAAACATACAAAGCCAATTGAAGTTAGGCTTTGAGCACCTTTTGTATGCGGTGGGATTTATACGGGTGCAAATCTTATGGAACCACTTATTGCACTCTTCACATTGCATTCCTTGCACGTAACAGCAATTCAGCCGTCCACATTTATGAGTAGAGCGAACCATCTTGAAAATCAACTAAAAAGGATAACATTGAATTGAATTTGAAAGAAAATTCCAAACCCTAGCCGAAATAAGTCAAATTAAAGTCAACCAAGTATACTTTGATGCAATAAATATATAAATATAAAAACAAAGTCGGTTCACAACTATAAATTATAATCTCACCGGTAATATATTCACATTTATTGAACGGTTGTAATGTGCAAATATGCACTAGACGCGATATGTATTCAAAGGAATCTTCCTTGAATCATCTTTGGCGAGAGTCTTGTAGTTGACTTGAAGTGCGAAATGGAAACATATAGCTTTTCATAACATTTGTAAATATTTGTTTCAGTAGCATTGTTAATTACGATGTAAGGAATATTACAAAATATTTCATGACTAACTGGCTTTCATCTTGGTTTATGATATTGCCAAGGGGACTTAAAAAAATTGAGGCAGAGCAGTGAAATAGTAGTAATTGGTTGAGATTGGTCACCGACAACATTTATGCAAATAACTAAGCTTTACGGAAGTCTTTCCTAATCTCCTACTATCTGTGCAATTATTGTCACTCTTATTAGGACTTCAGTAATAAATACATTTCTGAGTAATTAATTTACGTTTGCAAAGTTCACTTCCTACTGCTGTTTTTAAATGTTTCTAGGAGTCCTGTTTCGGATAATGTTATACCCCACAAATACTACCTCTGTGAAACGGCTATGGCAAATCATTTTGCTCAAATGAATCTAACCTTACCGGTCGACGCATCCAAAATTCAAGGTGATTGCAACTCACCTTTGTTTGGTGATTCGTCTTGCTTTCCACTTGACTCAAGTCAGATTGCTTCCGCTCATCACTTGTATCAAAACTTGTCATTGCACACTAACAAAGAAGCGGGTGTTATTACTATTAATGACGATGAGGATATTGATGAAGATGCGCAAATCGAAAGGTCTCTAATATATATATATATATATATATATATATATATATATATATAATTTTTTTCTGAACGCATAACCTTAGCTTAGAATAACAATAAGCTTTATTAATCTCAAGATATGAATTCTTGTGTGTACGAAGATATTGCTCACAACAATTGCTCATAACATAGTGTAATTTGCATAAAAAACAGAAAATTCCAATTGTCTTCAGGGATAAAACACCAGGTATATTGTAATGATTTAAAATGGGACTGATTTATCAAAGGTGTGACCTTAGAAAAATACTGATCTTTGCTACTTATACAGTCGTTCGCTTTGACCGTGAAGTGTTTTTACCTGCTACGTGTATAACAGTACGAGATTGCCTCGTAGATGTGTGAAAGGAAACTAGATTCTAAAACGTTTTGGTCATTCAATAAGTTCAAATAAATTGAGCTAGTGTATAATCAATAATCTGATGTGTAAACAGAACGGGAACAAGGTTTGGAGAGTAAAATAAATTCATTCTACTTCACGGTTTCTCATCTGCTACATAGAACCTAAAAGTACAATTATTAATACAGTAATTTACAAATGTTCAGCACACTTGAGTTTATGAGGTATAGGTAAATGTTTCAAACATAATCGAAATCATAAGAAGAAGGAGAGGGATATGAAGTGTATGAGTAAACATATTTAAGGTTGATGTATGTTCACAGCCGTTGAAAAACCGTCAAATAGAATGAATCCATTTTATTTTGCAAACACCGTTGTTCTTGCTCTGTTTAAATTTATCAAGGGATTTGGTTTTATGAAATCTAATGTTATCCAATTCGCCAAATGAATAATTTAACTGACAACTGAGAAATGTCGTTCATTGCTGAATTATGCATTCGTTTTATTCCTAATGTTAGCGGGACATAGACTAGATTAAAGCATGCTCAGTGCATGATTGTTTTGCTGCACGCTGATTGGCTGATTCTTATCCAATCAGCACTAGTCGATAATCGGAGAATGCTCTGGAATCTTCTTATGTAAAAACTATAAATATACCGACGTTTTCCCCTATTGTGCTTCTGACTTGCTATTTGGAATATAATCTTTTCCTGTTCAACCGTGTTCTGATTTGGGGACTTGTCGAGTGAATCGGTGTCCGAGAATACTAAGCAATAGGAATAGCTGGGTCATTAACCGTAAGAAGAAACAGAGTTATAACACCTAACAAACGTGATTTATTAATTAGCCTATAATAATGATAATATTCAAATTTTTTGAATAAAGGAGTAACTTGAACTACATACCTGTTAATAATTATACGAAAATTAAATTGATAACATTTTCTCATCTCTCATTGGTATCAACTAATTTACTTTAAATTTCATCACAGATCACCTTTACGATTTTCAAATGATTTGAAAGATCACTTAAGATTTAAACGAATGAATCCAACAGATACGTTCCTAAGAGGACTGTAAGTTTCTTCGTTTACTATTACTGTTAACTGTTGCTTTTGATATTTTAGTACTCTATTGTTCACCACGACCTAGCATTGTTCGGATAAAAATGCATACGTTTACAGTCGTTTTTCTTGTGGTAAGAAAATTAATTAAACGAGGAAGCGGAAATAGTGTGAAACATCATACAATTTTACCACACTTCAGATCACCACTGAAAAATGTCATTGAAAATAATGATCTTAATTTAGTTTGAGATAGGTTGGGTTATCCCGTGGTTGATATTTTGGCGTATGTGCAACCTGTGCGGATCTCTTCAATATAGCCATTATGACTCAAGTTAATGTAGAATACATAAAATGCGGCTAGTGGTGTAATCTAGTACGCGCATTTAGTCCTACTTGGGACTTGCCAGCTGGATACACATGCATCCCAGAGTTGATGCTCATTCCGGGACTTGAACCCAGAACCGTTTGGTTTAACTCCATCACGTTATCCACTTAGTTACTGAGTCCAGATATCCCAAACTGATCAAATGTGAGTCAAAATGTCAAAAATGAGATAGCCCAAACCGTTCCAAATTGAATTAAAAATTATACCCGTTGTACAAGTAAGTGGCTATCTGGACTTAGTAGCTAAGTGGGTAACTATGGAGTTTGAAGCGAACGGTATGGAGTTCATGTCTCTAAACGAACATCAAATCTAGCAAGTCCCAAGTAGGACAAAACACACGTCCTGGATTCTACTACTAGCCACATTCCATCTACCCTATATTAATGATCCTAATACTTGTTAATGAATGAGACACTAATTAAATAAGTTAAGATAACGAATAAAGATGTGGAGTATCAAGTGACCTAAATTGTAATGATGATAAATGGTATGTGTTTCTTCATGATGAAAACTATTTTCAAGCCAGTCCAGCTTAAATATTCGATTATCTCTCTCACTGTCGTTCAGCAACACTTTACAGATTAGACCAACAGTTAGTGAATCCATAAGTTGTTAATTTAATTTATTTATTTGAACACATAAACATTGGTACAAGGGGACACCAAATATATATGCGCCACGCAATAACAATGAGGTTAGTAGCAGTCATCATTGCTTTATGTGAGGCCCGGGTGCCCAACCCGAAGCAGGTGGTTTTCTTAGGGTCCACACCAGGAGTCTTTGACCTAAAGGTCTAATCCACAAGGCAGTGGAGCAACGTCAGGAGATACGGTCCTGTGGTAGCCGATGACCAACAATAGGTTTATAAGCCTTTTTCCCCTCAGGATCCTGGAGCCCATGTATACTATTGTTTTGGAAACAGGGTTTTCCAACTCCCCTAGGTGGATCTTCCATATCCACTGAGCCGGTTAAAGCGCCAGACATCCTCTTATCGTCTTCTCAATTTCATAAACAACAGTAATTTCGCGAGAAGGCAGTGAGTACATACATATCTCACTCATTGACATGTATAACTACAGAAAGAAGTTATATTTATTGATATTTACTAGGGAAAATACTGTATATTCCACTTAACAATCAAAGTTTATTCTGATTTCATTCTCACCAATCATAAGGAAATCTCTAAATAGTGCGTGTTTAAGCTTCAAATCAATGCTAATGCTATGTTTATTCGTTGTCGCACATATCCAGCATCCGACGCGACCCATGATGTAATCGGTAAAACAATGTCGAAAATTACTTTCCCTTGGTATTCGATGGATATTTCATTCTTTATTGATCTCTGTTTTGTAGTATGTAACCTTATGTGAAAATAGATCATATTTCATTATTTCTTTGCAAGGGAAAATTTCATTCTTCACCATGCAACTCTTTTTCTTTACTAAAATAATGCAATTTTATTAGGCTTTCATCTGAACCGTCACTCGCGATAGTGCCGTTTAATCCTGATCCCCTTAAAGGTTTACTTCCGCCTAATTTCTCAGATCAAGAGTCAAGTGAAGAAAACTCGGACTCTAAAGTGTTACCAGATAGTCAAGTGCTCGATTCATCTACTGTCTTCCCTACCAATTCCTCTACATTTGGTAACGTTTTGTGTATGGATATCGATTCAGATTTCACGGGATAACAAAAACAGTCTGGTTTTTATTTGAGTAAGCTAAACGTTTTTGCATTTTCCTAGTTTATATTAGTGTTTCACATGCACTTGAAATTGTTCTTGACTCCATGGCTTAAAATGAAAGGTATTTAAAGATTCGGAATGTTAATAACTTATTTTCTAGTTTTATTTAATACCCCGCTTCTTAATTCTTTAGCATTAATCATTTAATTACTCCATCATACACGAGTGTCATAGACAAAATACTTTTAATCTACGGATACTTTCTGCTGGAGTTGTTTCATATTCGTAAAACAATACCTAGCTAGTTTATACTCAGTATTGTGTCTTTGTGATAGATTGACAATCATCTATCACGCTCCACGAGTGAGACAAATTATGTGAAGTCATATGAACTTTTCATATTCATGCTGAAATTTCACCAGCCACTAAACCAATTTGTTTGGTAAGACTATTGACATTGGTGGGTTGACTGACGCCACAAAGTCCTGAAACAGTATTCTGCAATTATAGAAATTGAAGCTTATTCTAGGTATTTTTCACTTTCTCACAATGTGCTTAATAAATTACACCCGTGCCATTCCAAAAGACATTGGGCTTAGCTGATTATTAGTGGTTCTTGATGCACAAACCTGTATTTGGTGAGTAGATCACATGTTAGCACATTAACGAATTTAAAAACGCAAGGATGGGGCATTCTACAATAGGTACATTGATTGTCTTACTGCATAATTTTATTTATTTTTACACCACTTTTCACACTTATTATTTTCTAATTGTAACCATCGCCGTTCCTTTTTGTCACCAGAACTTCAACAGTTCCCAACTAAATTTGGCCATTGAGTCAAAATTATAACTACCTGTTAATCGTGTAAGAGATAATCTCTTTTGTGATTCTTTTTCATTGAAATAATTGATATGTTTTTACTCACATATGAAATGTATTTCATTTAATTGTTATCTTCATTTCTTGACAAATTATAAAGAAACTGTTCACATTGTACATTATTGTCATTTCCTAACGAAGTCTACCCCTGCATATTCAGCTCCTTCACTTAGCATTTGCGTAAGTAATGGTTTTTTCCCTTTGAAATCTTTAATTATTATTTGTATTATGGTTTCTCTAAGTCATTTTTATCAGTCTACATTCTGACAATCCGAGTGTTTTAACTTAATGATAGAAAAATCGAGAATATATTTCAGGAACAACTAGAGAAACAGTTAGTCAACCATGATTATGATATCCACCCTGAGGTAGCTTTCCATGAAATCCAGAATTCTTTGGAAACAGCAGTGGTATCTGCCAGTAACTTAAACCAAAAGGTTAAAAAATATCAGTGGATTTTGGCGGCGTCTACTGAACAGATAAATATTTGGGAATTCAACCTGTCAGGCTCCAAGTACGATGAGCTCGAAATCAACCCAAATGTAGGCCGGCTGTAAGTAGTGACGGGTAGCGAAAACTGAGGAGGTGGAACAGGGAACGGTTATAAGTGACAATAAACAACTATCTAAGCTTATCGAGTAAGGCAGCATTCCGAGTATGTTACAATTCTCTCAATCTGAGTGCAAAATTTTGCTTCAAGATTGGCTTGGGTCAGTGCGTGAAATAAGAATAGGAAATGGCCTAGTTGAGCGTATCGACTGTTTCACTTATCCTGAGATTCTCATCATTCCTGACGTATAGTGTGTTATAACTTGTGACCACTGATTAAAGAGTAGTGACTTATCGATCGGATCAATGACGCGTAAACACGTGCGAGCAGTCTAGAGCTCTGATTGACCCTGCTTTCCAGTCTAACCCAGCCAGATAAGTCCAGAACACAAGTCTCAGCCTCTGCGATATGAATCGTTATATTTCAAACATACTCTGTTTATATACCAGTCAAGAAGACCACAACGTACCATAAAATAGAAAATAACATTTGTACAATATTTGGCCAACAGGAAAATGACACGTGAAATAAGTATTGACCAGTAGGAAAATGACACATGCAATAAATATTTGGCCAATAAGAAAGTGATATCATCTCAAGTCCAAGGATAGCATTAGACTTAACAGAATAATTTTCGGGATATTTTTCTGAATATCCCAACATAGTGTCTGACGAAATCTCAACACGGATCCAAAAAACCCGATTGACTATTAGCAACATATGTCACTTGTGGCGTAGATGAGATATCTATCTTTAAAATAAATGGTGAGTTTATTGTGAGACAGTTAACTTCGTTCTATTTATAAATATAAAACATGGCTGTTAATAATAAAGAATATCCCCAGGTCAATGGTATTCAATCATAGGTGTCTTCCAGGCTTTGCTTGTGTATTTTGGGGCCATCGGGTGAACAATAGCGATTTTAGGTATGGGGTACTAGGTAAACAGAGCGAATCAATTGATAAAGTTGTTAGTGAATCTCTATCATCTAAGGTGGTTAGGACATGTGTTATAAATACCCAACCATCGCCTACTTCAACGTATGATGTTGTCTAGTGCAGAAGTAGGCTGAAAGATAGGGGCTGCCAAACCGAGATATGGCACTAGTCCATAGAGTTACTGACAATCGAACTGTGGCAGGTTAGTAGGTGTAGGGTACCTGGTTGGGTTCCTAGTGGTTAGAGACTTTGAATGAAATGGTTCACAGCAGTTTACAGTAGTTTAGGTACATCCATTTCTCGTCTTTCCCCAGATTTTAAGCTTTTGGATTCTACATATTTTTATTTCACCAATTTATATTTTGAATCGTATCGTCGGTAGTTAATTTTCTCTATTGTCACTAATATTATTACTACCTCCACCATCTTGGGATTTGCTCTAACATTCTCATCACACTGTGCTAATGGGCTGTGGCGACCTAGACCAACGTACATATCTGCCAGGTTCTACGTCTCGACTGACTAAATAACTTTTATTAGACTTTTACATTATAAATGTCTAAACATTTGGTAGAAAGTTAGCAGCTAGTGTTCATTATTCTTATATAAGATTTGAATATTTGTTGTGGCTTAAAGTGTTTTTGGCGGAATATAAATGTTGTTAGTTCGTAAGTTAATGTTTTTTATTTTATATATTGGTACATCGTTTATAAATTTATAGACAAATAAATTGGTTATCAAGAAGTTTATTGATAACCAATTATTGAAACTTGTCCACTGAATAACACTTACAAAGATTTGAGGAATTAGCGATTTCTCTTTCTTTTTTTAAAAAAAATGAAGATCTAAGGATGCCACAAGGAAATAAACGTTTTATTGTTTCATGAATGTAATGCATAACCTTTTTCGTTAGTTATTTGTCATGTATGATAACGGTTCAGTATTCGCTGCTTGAACTCCAGCCACCATCTAGTACATATAAATCTACTTCACTTACGTTATTTGTTTACTGTGAAATATCATCGTTGACTCACATATAAAATAATTTAGACCAAAAATTTAATAGAAGTTAAGTTACATTAAACTATTTCTACTTCTGAAGTTTCGTATTGTTCATTGTTGTATTCAGGATTTTATGCAGTAGCTTCTGAGTTCAAGACTGAAAACAATGATTAACCTTACTTAGATAGTAGAACTTATTAATGTGATATATCTCAAATTGTCTTAAGTGTTTCCTGTTTATATTTCAGACACACATATCGAGTGGTTTAATATAGTGGATAGTCCATGCATTTTCTGATGTTACTGTATTAATGAACAAGACCTTTGAAGATTACAGCACACCTTGCCTTTGATTGTTATCTTTATCATTTGTTGGATATATATTGTTTATATCTTTTACAATGTATAAGATATGCTGTACTGATTTTTTATTGTAGTGCACGTATATATTGTTGGTTTTTTTCAATATTTATTGGTGTACTCATTGTATATGAACACTATATTTTCTAGATTTCTTTCTGTTTAGATAGAAATATATCAAGTTTTTGCAGCGCAACAAGTTTTTTTTTGTATTTCGACTATCACAAACTGCTATTTCTTGAACATATAAATTACAGTTTTAAAATAATGTTAAGGTTAGTGATTCCGACTCAAACCATCATGATTATTATGACTGGTGGTCGACTGTTACGACTGCATCACCAATTGTTATATATGGTCGTCACTGATTGTTATATCGGAATCACTTATTACTTATACTTGTAAAAACAAATATACACTACAGTTCTCACGACGCAAAAGTAAGAACACTAAAAGTGATACAAGTGAATATTTATTCACCCTAAAACACGATGACGACGACTCGAATCGAAAATACACTCATTATTATATTGATTGTATGTTCATTTTGATAATTAATTAGGATGGAATTACATACTGCATGTCAATATGGAGTATAACTCATGTGAATTTAATACGGGAAAGCATTAACAAATACTACACTGAGTAATTATCACATTCAATTAAAATAGAATTAATGTTGAGCATAAATCATTGAGTAAAAGAATGTAATTTTGACTTTTCATTCTGTCATTTGAATATTAGTAACTCACTTCATACGTAAAGATTTGTAGAACTGTTAACTACTTGGTGTCTGTATTATATAGGTTAGAAATAGTAAATATTTAAAAACTAGACAGGATGAAACCCTGTGTTATTGTAAAGTGTAATAATTTGGATTAGTATATTTCTGCAGTATATTCTTTATTCTGCATGAAGTAATATAAATTTTTCTTAAAAATATTGAATAAAACTGAATAGAATCAGAGTTACCGGTAATTTTAGTTTTATTCGGTTATTTCCTTTATTGCATCAACTTATTTTCTTCTATTAATTGTGTTTCTCATTCACTAAAAAGACTAATTAAAGTTATGGATAAATACATCATCTCTAAATGACATTATGTTAAGGTTCTTTTTCACGTTTAATAATCCACTGACTCAATATTTTGAAATAAATGTTAATAACTTATCTAGTACCAGACTTAAAAAATAAGTCAAGTTTTTAGTTTTCCAATTAACCACTGATACTACTATTCCCTGAATTTGTAGATTTATATAGGTTTTTTGTTGAGATCGGTGCTCGTGTTTATCCCTTATTTATTTCGTAGTGCTTTTAACTACTGAGTTTTTTTTTTAAAGCGAATACATAAATATAATAGCGCTCAAGAATGATGGAAATACTAGTAGTCTGGGATTGAATTTCTTGATGTTCTGTACAAGTGACAATGTTGGTTTTCAGAAATCGTTTATTTACAGTAAACTAAAGTGAATGGTTCTTTGAATGGTCGATAAACTTCGGTCGTGTTAATTCTGAATGTTATGACGCATATTGTTGGTGAACAACGCGCTAGTTATTCTGAGAACATCTTCATAAATGCGCATGACTCGAAAAGTGTTTACTGTCTTGTGTTCGCCAGTTTATTGAATGCTAAACTGATAACACTCCTCACACAATTCCGTAGACTCCGAGCTATGATTATTATTAGGTCTCACCTTCCAAAAAAAATTACACAGGATAAAGATACTTCTGTATGTTGTCCAGTAAATGAGCATACCAAGATTATAAACCCACTTCATGTAAACGTATTTTAGTGTGATTCGAACTTGAAGATATTCAAACTATGATCGGATGTTTACGATACTTATCTCACCATAAATGTCACATAATTGTATAAAATCTTTATTTTTCTAAGCAGTTGTTGAAACAAGCTTGATTATTGAACTGTATTGTCCAGTTTTCCTCCAATGTTCTGTTCAGGTGAAATCGCAGTCAAATAAACAAAATCCTAGATGTGAAACTTGAAGTCTACCTGTTCTTCATAACCCTAAACGATAGTACAGTAAGTGGATTTATTCTTTAGAACTTTGTAAGCTTCTCTGTAATCTTGACTGATGACCACTGAATTGATCATGTCGTAAGAAGGTGTGTTTACTTCTCTACAAATAGGTTTAGATGTGACTATCAGTTGAGTGTGACAAGGCTGGATCGGTATTGACTGGAAATGGTACGTTTATCAGATGGCTCATGTAAGAGGTCATTATGTATTAAGTGAAAGAGATCGGCGTTCCTCGAACTTCCCTGCAATTATAAGGGTCGAACCAAATATTAATTTTGTAGAGGTAGAATCAGCATTAGCTCTTATTGAACGGCGAATTTCGAGAGAGATGATTGTGCTTGCCTATTGTGATGTGTTCGCTAACGAAAAAGAGGTTTTCAAAGATCGCTCATGAGTTAAGGGGGAAATTTGTTTCTGTAAAAATCTCAGCGATTAAATTTAGAGTAAATCCAGACAATCGGAGTGTGCCAAATTAATCGGTGAAAAGTACCTGGTTGGGGTCCTCATGGTTGTCGTAACCAGTGGTTAGAGACTGAATGACATGGCTTAAAACACTTTTAGATAGTTCAGGTACGTTCACTTCTTATCCTTCTTACAATCTATGTCTTGAAATCCCTTTAGAAGTTGTTTTCTTTTTCTATACCTAATCTTTTCTAATTCACTAATACTACTGCTAATTTTTTATTGCTTTTACTGCTCTTGAATATGTCTTGATAAATAGTTTGCTTTGCTAGTGTTATATGCTAAGTTGAATCGATTTACATTGGTGAGGCTTTACGTTACTTATGACAGGCTGAGCAAATCTTTCGGTTAAGCAATCAGTAAAGGAATGACATCATCCCTGATTATGGGGAAACCAGAGGACATATCGGATGGTAAAGTTCAACGGAGAAGATTGAACTTCACCTTTCGAAACGAAAATAACTAGTTTAACTATGCCTAAAAATCTGGGTACATTTGAAACGAATGAACGCAAACTTTCAATGTAATCAGAATGGGACTAAGTAATTATGAATTACCTACAGAGGGAGATAATTCTAAAATCTATATAAAGAAAGGGGCGTTTTGTTTATTTGAAATCAGATTTTTGGGTCATACCGTTTTAAACTGTAAGGGAACTTTGTTTTGTGGCTAATACTTCATTGGCAGTTGACATATTTTGTTCTTTTGAACAGTACTACTGATTAATCAGTAAGTATCCTGAATCGAATTCGAAATATTTACTTTAAGACTTACCAGTCTTTAAGCCGGATATATTCTTGATTTGAGGTAATCTATATGTGTAAAAAAGTAAACTGCCTTTCAATGGACCTATTTTTTGCAGTGTACATATTGGGTAGTGAATATGACTTTATTTCAGTCCATCGTAATTTCGTTCTTTATACTATTTAACTTTTTTATTGAATCGGAAGAAATTCACTTCTAGTATATTTATTGTCAACATTCTAGATAGCGAAATTATTTATCATCCTCTAACTGTGATGTGTACAGACCTTTTATTAAAAACTATTGATGGTTAACATTAACTGTGATCTATCTGGCCCTAACGTTAAAGTTTATAGCTAAAGTTATTTAGTAATAACCATGTAAATGAATAAAACGTTACATTGTGATCGAAATTGTCTGATTCATGAACACTACATTGGAAATAATGTTTTAGTACCTGTTAAGATGTTACTTTGAGGATAGTAGGACAGTATGTCACAAATCTGAAAAAAGACTTAATTCACAGAGCGTTAAGTACATAGATATCTTAAGCAATAAATGTTCATCAAGGTAAAATCCACTGCTTTGCATATTTCGGTTTCTGTCGATTCGAATTGTTACCATATATCATTATGTCTGGGTAAGTGATTCACTTTCTACTTGTCTGACTTTACAAATCACTAAATAACATAAACTGCTGCGTTTAAACTTAGTTCATCAAATATCTTTCGACTCCGTCAAAATAATCAGTTATCAATGTTGGCGACCGTTTGTTATAACGTTTAATCTAAATTTCAAATACGGCATAAAAGAATTGAAAAAAAAAGTTTTAATTCAGGAAATAGGCATTTACTGATAACACGAGTGTTGTTAAAATAAAATTCACTAATAATTGTATATTTAATATTTAGAAATATACAAAAATCATATGAACTCCGCCTGTAGCACTTCTAGGGTTACTGCCGGTACCAAGCTCAAGTGAATGAGAAGCATTGGGTGTATGGTCGGCAACTCCGTCCCGTACAAAACAACCTTGCTAAAATACACTGACCAGAACGAACAATTTGAACCAATTAAGCTCTACCCTCCGAGTTCAAGGAAGAATTATGACGCCTCACGATGAAAGCCGATATTCTTCCGAAGTCACGAGACCGATGCCCCTTCTAACAACCAGATCAACAACTTATATAGGTTCATGGAATGTTCGGACAATGTAGGAGACCGGGAGGACCAATGAAATAGCTACGGAAATGAGGGGCCGCCAGAACTGACAATATACCAACCGAAGCACTGAAGTCAGACATAGAAGTAACCGCAAACATGCTCCACATTCTATTTTGGAAGATGGACGCGCACTGCTGAGGAGCCTCACAATGGAACGAAACGTCTTTTCAGTGCTTCCAGGTTTTTCATGGTGGTCTAGCTTCAATTGACTAATGATCTCAGCTATTGAAATTACTACAATCTCCACAAAACCCATTCTGAGAAGAACAAATGCTGACATACTGGGAAGAAGGATATCTCATCAAGATACCAAAGAAAGTAGATTTGAGCAAATGTGAGAACTACAGAGGCATCACACTACTGTCGGTACCAGGAAACGTTTTCAACATTGTTGCTGAACCGGATGAAACACTCAGCAGACAGTCAATATCGAGATCAACAGACCGGATTCCGTAACGATCAGTCGTGCATAGATCAAATAGCGACATTACGGATCATCGTTGAACAATCCATTGAGTGGAACCTGTCACTATACATAAACTTCCTTGAGCATAAGAGAGCATTTGACAGTGTGGATAGAAAAACATTATGAAAACTTCTTCGACACTATGGTATACCTGAGAAGATCATTAACATCATACGGAATTCATCCGACGGACTATTGTGCAAAGTAGTGCATGGAGGACAGCTGGCAGACGCATTCAAAGTGACGACCGAAGTCAGACAAG